TCAACAAGAAGAGATTGACAGAATTGTAATTTTTTGACAAACTAACAGTTGAACTTAATTTCTACAGTGAGATATTACTCTGAACTGCTGCCATACCAGTTTTGCACTATGGGAAATAACAAAAACAACAACCAAAGTGCTAATTGTAATAGAATGGCATCAAAAGAGACACCGGATGTACTGTAACATCACTTACTTTGGGTTTTCCTTTTTAAGCTAATTCCTCGATTTCTTACAAAGTATCTTCAGGAACTTCAGTGGTGCTCTCAATGGGCATCTTCTGAACACCTGCAGAAAACCAGTCATATAATGATCAGGAAACTCAGAAGAAACTCAAACAGAATAAACATTAAAAATATATATATTCTAAAGGAATTAGCCTGTTAAACATTTATTTTTTAAACAGTCATTTATCAGTTTTCGCCAAAACATGTTAATAAGTATCAACCTATTGGTATAACCAGATACCAATACAAAACTGGTGCATCCCTAATTTTAGTAATATTCTGTTAGAAATGCTGGACTAATACAATATAATTTTTGACTTTGATTATATTGAAAAACCACTTAGTTGACACATACCAGCATTACTGGAGTCTCCCGCAGCTCCAGCAAGAGCATCATCATCAGAATCACTTTCTTCAGGATCACTGTCATCAGAATCAGTCATATTGATCTCGTCTTCAATCTGTCATGCCCTAAGAAATCGGCAACCTGATCTAACTCATTGTTTTTCAGGTTTAGGATTTGTGAGAGCGTAGCCACGTGCTTGCGCAGATGAGTGGATCTGAGAAATTCTGGATTTTGAGCTCCACATTCACTTGCATAGACCCTCAGAGAGTCCTGGCCTCTGTAGTGACTCTGGCAGTTTGGCCGAGCAAACAAGAAAGCATTAGTGTCCAGCACTCCACATTCACTTCTCCTGCTGACCAGCAGCGTCAGGGCATCGACTATATCAGGAGAGAGAACAGCAACCTTTCTTCCCCTCTTCCCCTGATCTAAACTCGACTGAAATGGCTGCAGAGTTTCTGCTCAAACTTGCTCAGGCCCATCGCAACATCATCATGGAGAGAAGTGCCATCCCTTTCATTGAAGCCCTTCAGCGGCATTTTAGAGACCTCTCCCGCGCGTCTGCGGTTGAAAACAATGATTCTGGCGAGTGTTGCTTTGGCCAGTTCTGCATAGCTTTGAGGAGATGCCGTCTCTTGTAGTTTCTGAAAAGCCGTATGTGCAGTCTTTTCAAGGAACCGATGAAGGGACTGGACATCCTGAGTGAAGGGAAGTGTTGATGGCTTGTTAAATTTGGCTTCATTCAGTGTGACCAAAGCAGTGTGCGAGATCATCTCAGACCACTTTGAGGAGTAGAGCTTTTTGAAGGTCTCTGTTGATGCGATCAATTCCTTGTCTTCAGACATCAGTGCTCGGCAGTGAATGATTTTGCAAATCTTATTCAACGAATGCCCCAGTTTTAGAGCAAGGCTTGGGCTTTGGTAGCAGTGGCTCTCATCATCATAGCCAGACACCATCTGAACCGCTCGAATGAGTCTAACAGTTGAACTTAATTTCTACAGTGAGATATTAGTCTGAACTGCTGCCATACCAGTTTTGCACTATGGGAAATAACAAAAACAACAACCAAAGTGCTAATTATAATAGAATGGCATCAAAAGAGACACAGGATGTACTGTAACATCACTTACTTTGAGTTTTCCTTTTTAAGCTAATTTCTCGATTTCTTACAAAATCCCGTATGTTCTGTGCACTGCGTCTCACCAAAACAGGATCCTCAGCAGTCTTACACTGCTGGCATTCAGTCATTGTGGCCAGTTTTCCTTTAGTTATATGGCCCTTAAAATGTTTCATTACAGCTGTAATTTCAGCATTTGACCAGGACACTTTCTGCCCTCTCCGTGGGTTTTCAGTTTCTGCCTCACACTCACTCTCACTACACTTCGATGACACTACATCCTACAGTGAACACAAGACATATTTCAGAGATGAGTTTCCTTAAAGCTCCCTGTGAGTGTAAAAGACCCTCTGTGCTACCCATACTAGAATGGACGTACCTTCAATCTCAATGTCATCAAGTGTTGCCTTGAAGATTAGGAAGGCAGCCCTTTTCCATGGCTAACAGTAGCTTTGATATTTTAGCAAGCTGAGTAGTGGCTTCTGGCAGCCTGTAATAGTCGCGGTGGACACGGATGTCATGCCCGAAGAAATCGTCAACCTGTTCTAACTCATTGTTTTTCAGGTTTAGGATTTGTGAGAGCATAGCCACGTGCTTGTGCAGATGAGTGGATCTGAGAAATTCTGGATTTTGAGCTCCACATTCACTTGCATAGACCCTCGGGAGTCCTGGCCTCTGTAGTGACTCTGGCAGTTTGGCCGAGCAAACAAGAACGCATTAGTGTCCAGCACTCCACATTCACTTATCCTGCTGACCAGCAGCGTCAGGGCATCGACCATATCAGGAGAGAGAAGAACAGCAAACTTTCCTCCCCTCTTCCCCCTGATCTCAACTCGACTGAAATGGCTGCAGAGATTCCGCTCAAACTTGCTCAGGCCCATCGCAACATCATCATGGAGAGAAGTGCCATCCCTTTCATTGAAGCCCTTCAGCGGCATTTTAGAGACCTCTCCCTCTGCGGTTGAAAACAATGATTCTGGCGAGTGTTGCTTTGGCCACTTCTGCATAGCTTTGAGGAGATGGCGTTTCTTGTAGTTTCTGAAAAGCCATATGTGCAGTCTTCTCAAGGAACCGATGAAGGGACTGGACATCCTGAGTGAAGGGAAGTGTTGATGGCTTGTTAAATTTGGCTTCATTCAGTGTCACCAAAGCAGTGTGTGAGATCATCTCAGACCACTTTGAGGATTGAGGAGTCCTTGTCTTCAGACGTCTCTGTTGGGCAGTGAATGATTTTGTCTTCAGACATCAGTGCTCGGCAGTGAATGATTTAGAGCATGGTGATTTGGTAGCAGTGGCTCTCATCATCATAGCCAGACACCATCTGAACCACTCGAATGAGTCTATGAAAATTGGCAGGTTTCAGAGGTTCTTCAAGACTGTACACAGAAAACTCTCTACGCAAAGTCACCAACAATATTCCAACTTCACGGAGTTTTTGTCGAATGTACTCAGATTTGTTAGGGTCATGTCCATGTTTGTTAAAGAATGACTGTGCAAGCTGAAGAATACTCAGGTCATTTTTGACAACAGCGGAAATGTCATCCTGCTTCATCACACCTAAGAGTTTCCAAACTCCTCGAGATATGTGCTGACTGAATGAAGACTCTGCCATAGACGCCAGGCCCAAAACTCTCCTCCTCCCTTGGTTTTCACTGTCAGCTTCTGGTTTTGAGGGACATCTTCTCAAATGACGCCACAGATCTCTCCGTACAAACATCCCTTTGCAGTACATGCAATGCACAAACTGCTTTGAATCACACTTTCTTTTTGGTGCCCGTTTTATTTTAAGAGCCCTCTCTCCACACTGTAAAAGGTCGGTGTTATGCTGAAAGTTGCCCTTGTTCCTGAGCTTTTACAGCATTGCTTTATGTTCTTTCACAGACCTGTGAAGAAAAAAAACATCAGTGAATGTGAAATTACAGCAAAAAAGAAAGATCCTAAAACATACATGTGATACTACATTACGAGCTACACTGTCTTTCAATAATCATTTAATGTGTTTTTAGTGGCAGGTGTGTTGAGGCAAGTTGGAGCTAAACTCTGCAGGACACCAGCCCTCCAGGACCGAGTTTGGGCACCCCTGATTTAGACATCGACTAATATTACTGAAAGTGAAAAAATGTAATTAATTAAATACTTTTTGTAACAGCTTTTTTCCCCCTAAGTATATCACAGGCCATGCAGAGATGGACTTCAGAGCATTCACTGTTGCACTGAAATAACAGCTCATCCGAAACATGTGAATACCTCCTTAACTCCTTCAGCAGGGGCACAAAAACTCTGCTCCTCATTTAACACATGCTCTTTGACAGGTGACATCTGAAAACAATGAAAAAAGCAAGGCTCATGTAGAGATGATTTCTAACAACATCGATCTAGCATTTTCTAAAATTATGCAATGCACATTTTAGTACCTTCTCAACACAGTCCTGATCATCCAATCATAACCGGTCCTTCTTCGGAGTCACCTGAAATTAAGGAAACGGAAATAAAAAAATAAATAAACATTCTACTGCAGACAAAGGATTCAGGGATTGTTCAGATTTATAATAAATTACCTTTTCCAGTCCTTCAGATGCCGCACAGATACTTGAGTCCTTTAACACTGGCTGATCACTGACAACTGTCAGCTGAAAACAAGTCAAAAAATTCAAAATAAAATAATTATTATGTTATGAATGAGATACCCAAGCAATAGAAGAGAATTGCCCTTACTATGGAATAAAAAATACAGAGTGTATATTTACATTTAGTCAAAAGTGGCTGTAAATTATCAGCTTCAGTGGCGCAGATGGATAAGAAGAATCAGAATCAGAATCAGAAGAGCTTTATTACCAAGTATGTTTACACACACAAGGAATTTGACTTGACGACAGGAGCTTCCAGTGTAGAAGAAAGTACAAACATAGTGCAGACATACATGATAGTGCAGACAAATGTGAGCCAAAATCATCACAATTAAAAGAACCAAAGACTTAAACTACTTCAGTCTGTGTGCACTGAATTTATTTAATACACGCGTTTCACAATTTGAGTTGAATTACTGAAATAAATGAACTTTTCCACGACATTCTAATTTATTGAGATGCACCTGTATACTGATTTTCTCATCCTCTGAATTATACTTATCAATCCTGTTTTTATCATCATTCAAAAAATGAATAAATTCAGAACAGGATTAGAATAGAATTCTATTTTAAATAAGACAAATATTTTTTTTCTACAACAACAGCAACAGTAGTGTTTACAACAGCAAAACCACCATACCATGTACACTCAATAATAATAATGATAATGATAATATAACAACAATAATAATATCAATAGTATAATTCAGTTTCTAATTCCAGAGTAATTAAGAGGTGCAAAGAAAAAAATCTTTAACTTTTAAACTTAAAATGGTCTTTTCTTTTCTGTTCTGTGATTCTTTTTCAAAACTGCGTCACAGTTTGCTGCTGTATCAATACAGAACCATCCGTTTCGATACACGTATCAGCAAGGAGCACAGCCCTTTTAAAAGCCGTGCTCCATGTACTCTTTTATACTTTGAGCACCTGCCCCTCCAAAGGTCTCTGCACGGCCCTGCTACACATTCAAAACATCATTACTACTCTGAATGTTTTTATGTAAATGTTAAGTGTAAGTGTAATGTTAAGTACTGTACGAGGTCTTTCATGATGCTACATAGCCTATGCTCGGGTGTGAATTTGACAGGTGCTTGATATAAAATAAATGGTGCTTTAGAAAGTCCTTGAATCTGGTGTTGAATAGATGCATCAGTTTTGTATTTCTTCTGTTTGAAGTTGAGAATATTTAATTCAACTTATAAAATTTTGATTAAACTGTTCTATTGTTAATTGGTACAATATTTTTAAATGTTAAATGTAGCCCATTTCATTAAAAATGTGTAGTTTTCTTCAAAAAGAGACAATAAAAGAGAAACAAACTTAAAAAATTGAATTATACAATTGTCAGTTTTGTACAGTATACGTACAGACTTTGTATTTTGTCTTTCAAAATAAAACTTTTAATTTACAATCTTGAGCATGCTTTAACACTTTATTGAAGTTTTTTTTTATTATTGTAATAACCTATATAATAACAGTGTTTCTCTGTACAATTAGAATCAGAAAGCATCTACAAGGAATTTGTTTTGGTGACAGAAGCTTCCAGTACACAGAGACAACACCACACAGACACAGACAATAAAAAATAAAGATATGTGAATAAAATATATATATATATATATATATAAACAAACAAAAATAAACAAAAAAATTGTATGTACACTGTTAGCAATTGATGTAATTTTTACAATAAATTTTACAACGCATTGTATTCATGTTTTTACTGTAAATGCAAATGCATGATGGGACAGTCCTGTAATATTATTGAAACTACACTGTAGAAGCATTATTTTACAGCCAACGCATAGCATTGTGGGATCGCTGCCTTTTGAATTTTCAAATTACGCGCCCAACGGAAGACTATTAAGCATTTTCGTCTCAAGATAAAGACTAAGACTACACTGTTAGCAATTGATGTAATTTTTACAATAAATTTTACAACAACGCATTGTATTCATGTTTTTATTGTAAATGCAAATGCATGATGGGAAATTTAAGGACAGTCCTGTAATATTATTGTAACTACAACGTAGAAGCATTATTTTACAGCCACCGCATAGCATTGTGGGGTCGCTGCTGTTTGAATTTAGAAATTACGCGGCCAACGGTACCAGAAGTATTTAAACATTTTTGAAAGAAGAAACACGTCTCAGGTATGTAACATAAAATCTATTTTATAAGTCTATGGATATATTCATACCGGTGATCTGAGTGAGTGCCGATTGTTTCGTTTGGTATATTTTCAGATTTCTCTTGAACTGACCGCGGTGAAGTTAGTTTCAAATGGCCTCTTCTTACTCCATCCAATTTAAAACTAACTTCACCATGGTTCTGAACGGTCAACACCGAAGGAAAAGACAAACTGAGCGGCAGCAGCTGTAACACACCGCAGGATCAGCCGCACACCGGCTGCTAGCTGGATTATTTCAGACACTGATTTGTTGTTGATTATATCTAAACATCATCTCCTCGGCTCGCCTCTACTTGCTTGGAACCTCGACGGAGGTGATACGGAAAAAGGTAACGTTACTACATGCAAAACCACCACAATGACGACACCTCAAATAACGTTAGCATCATTAATGTTAGCCAATAACGTTAAACTGTAAAAATAAGCATTAGCCCGGTAAGCTTCCTTAGCTCAGGTTATTATTGCGTATTATTGTAACGTTCTTATGACTTCTGTTTTGCAGAGCATGTGTCATGTAAGCTGTCTGTATCTAAAATAAACTGCGTGTGCGCAACTTAAACCAACCAGCATCGTAATTACTTTTTTTTTTCTGAGAGGGTTCTGAGCCCAGGTTCTGTTCAAAGGCTTTCACTGCTCTCTTTGTCTTCGGAGAAGGCGGCAAATTAGTAGTATTAAAATTAGCTAAGTTAGCAAACGGATAAACTTAACCATCCATCTTCCCTGGTTGGCTTCTGTCATTTATCAATTGTACAGCGTATGTAAATACATAAATAATCTTTTGGTGTGTTCTATAACCCTTTCTAACCACCACGTGGTGTGATATTTGTTAGCTAGCCAGCTAGGTTAGCCAGCTGTGTGCCCTTAATCTCTGCATAGGAACAGTGTGGACTCACCTTTTCTCTTTAATCGCTCTTGGTCTCTTTTCTGAAAATGTTTCATTGCAAGTTTAGCATGTGTGGAAGTGTTTTTGAAACATACTAATACAATGTCTATTGACATAAGAGTGAAGTCCAGCCAATCTTTGAGGATATTCTCTCCATTCTACGTAAATAATTGCATTCAATTTTTATATTCCGTCTTTAGGGTTGTCTTTTAAATACTTTACATTTGTTTTGCGAGCGTTTCCTACCTAGAAATAACAATGTAGCTACCATTCTACTATAGATTTCACTTTCTCCTCCAAGTTCAGACTAGCAGCACTTAAAATGTTGAACTAAATTAAAAAATTAATGTAAATGTTTTTGATTCAGGTAGAAAATATCATAGTGGGAGATGAAATACAACATTAGTGTGTCTGGATCATAGGGTTCCAATGATCAAAATATTTATTTCAGATCCCTCTTCAGCCCCATTTCCCCCAGAAAGTCCAGATCCCTCCTCAGCCCTGTTTCATCTGGGAAGTCCACAAACCTCCTCAACCCGGTGTTAACCAGGTACGCCCAGAATATTCAACACCAGAGGACGACTTCTGCCATCACCACACACACCATGGCCTGTCAATTTTAAAATGAACTGGGAGAAGATGCCGTCAGAGGTACAGTCAGCTATCGCAAATTCAACTAGACCAAATCCAGCAGCAAGAAAAGCAATGGTCAGAACCCTGCAAACAAGCCTGCACTGGCCCTTTACGGGCCCACTTAGGGCTAACCTTAGGGCCCTCAGCGGGCTGCCAGCGCAGGGCCCCTAAGAATTTGCTCATTGGCAAAACGTTGGCCCCTTAGCGCTGGTCCTGCACGGGCAGCCCTCACTTAGCCCCCAGGAAGCACTCACTATGCCCACACAGGGCCCGCACTAATAATCTACAACAGGGCTGTCCAAACTCGGTCCTGGAGGGCCGGTGTCCTGCAGAGTTTAGCTCCAACTTGCTTCAACACACCTGACTGGAAGTTTCTATGCCTAGTAAGAGCTTGATTAGCTGGTTCAGGTGTGTTTAATTAGGGTTGGAGCTAACCTCGGCAGGACCGAGTTTGGACAGCCCTGATCTACAACAATGTAAAAAATCTGTTTCACTTTAAATACTTTCCAGCTACTATAACTTAAGTCTTTGGGAAAAAACTGTTATTATACATCTGAAATGGATGCAGTCACCACATAACTAATGTCTGTATTGTCAAAAATGTACATTAGTCAAAGGGATTTAAAATCAATTAAATACAAAACAGAAAACATACAGTTCAGGTTAATACAGCTACATATAGCCAAAAATGTAAATACACAAAAGTAAAAAAAGAACAAAAAGCAATGTAAGACTGTAGGATTTCGTCATGTGAAAGTTGATGTGTGCGAAAGTCTTATCTGTAGTATATAACCGTTCCAGCTATTTAAACTGGTATTGTTATATGAGGATGAGGGGGAATCAGTCTTTGCAAAAATCTAAGGGATAAGACTGTAGGATTTCGTCATGTGTAGATAGATGTGTGCGAAAGTCTTATCTGTAGTATATAACCGTTCCAGCTATTTAAACTGGTATTGTTATATGAGGATGAGGGGGAATCAGTCTTTGCAAAAATCTAAGGGATAGTGTTCAGAAGCTGGTTTAAATACACACAAAAAAAACAAATAGCAACAAAAACACTTTTCCCAACATATATTGTGCTTCTACACAAATACAAAACACACACACACACACACACACTACCGTCGCATAAATATTCAAAATAGATATAGGCAATGACCAAATGAAGGCAGGAATATATGTGTATGAAATGTCCAACAAAGATGCTGAAGAAAGAAACCATTTGGTAAAGGAGAGCAGTCAGTTAAATAGTCTTATCTGTTGAAGGGCAACTGATGAAATGACGAAATGGAGCAGT